GGCTGTGTTTCAACGAGCCTATCATGCTAGTAAGGAACACAGCCACCCTGGAAGACTTTTATGGGGTCCCCCTAACCAACTTTTTTAGACTTTTTTAGAAGCTGCTTGGACAAGTAGCGAAATGTCTCTACCAAAAAGAAAAGAGGTCCAGTTGCCATGACTCAACCTCCAGACATTGACAATGAAGGAAGGTACTTGGGTGTTTTAGAAGTAAACAATATTTTGCATGCCCAAGTGGGGAAAAAAACCAGCATCGAATATGTAAAACAAGTTAGAAAAATTTTAAAAATGAATGATGGTAATATAATCAAAGCCATTAATATCTGGCCTGTTCCTATAATATTCCACAGCAGGCATTGATGATTGGACAAAAGTGGAACTAGATGCTTTAGAACACCAGACCCAAAACTTGTGACCATTCACCATACATTTACACCCCAAAAGCGACATAGATCATTTGAATCTATCAAGGGAAAATAGTGAAATAGTGGAGAATGAAATTTTATCTAAATGATTACATAAAGGCAAGCAAAGAAAGGATGCTAATAAATGTCTGCCAGGAAAATATTTTGAAAGTGACGGAATCAAAGGTGACACACAAAACTGTACAGCTACAAAGGTGAATGAAAAAATGGAATGATCGACCACTGCACGGTCAATGGCTGAAAGAAACTGAAGGCAAGGCGAACAGTAACTAAACTTGGCAATGGCTTCAGGTTGGAGCCATCAAAAAGGAAACAGAAGGCTTAACATTTGCTGTACAAGAAGTACTAGCAACAAATCATATAAAAACATTAAAAAAAATAAAAATAGAAACAACAGCCCATGTAGACTATACAAACAGAAAAATAGGAGTGTTCACTATCTAATCAGCAGTTGTAGCAAAATTGCCCAGATTGATTATAAGACATGATTCTGTGGCTAAAATGATACCCTGAAATTTGTACACTATAAATGTCATGCCCCAAAATATTGGGTATGTTCATAATGTCGAAAACGTGCTCCAGAATGACTATGGAAAACTGTTATGTGATTTCTGAATTCAGACAGACCTTTGCCTAGAACACAACTTCCCTAACATCACAGTACTGTAGCTGAGGAAAAGCAAACTTTACTTATAGATGTAGCAATACCAAATAATACTGGAGTACCTCAAAAGGAACTAGAAAAAATGGTAAAATATTGGGACTGAACTACTGCCTTACTGAAATAATGGAATAAACCAGCAAATTATGATGATTGAAGCCTTATAAGATACCAAAATGGAACTGTCAAAATAGCTAACAAAATGAGACTTATTTGACCTCTCAACGTTTAGTTTACAAACAAGAACTTTGCTTGGAACCACATACATATATTGGGAGGGTATTTGGACAATTCTAAACATTTGAGATAAAGCTTGAATTTATCCTAAATTGCCAGCATTGCTGAGTATTTTTCAGAAGAGATTAATGGTGGTGATGGTAGCAAAATTTACATGTATCCTTGGAGGGATCAGGAGGAAAAAAACAAGACATATGACTTTGGGGAAGCAGCGATGATGTAGTTCCCACTCTTATTTAGAAGGTGATCCAACAGATCCCCCTACCCCACTTTTTTCTTTATTCTAGAAAGCCCAGCTGTGCCATGAGAAATATTAGTGGTTGTTCATTTAGAACGATGATCAGGCACTGATGCTGGAGAAGTTGTTCATAGAGAAGAAACCTGCCCTCGTGGCTGTGACTTACTGTAAGTCCTGTTGTTACAGGTTTTATATATTGTGCGTTGTGATGTTTTTTGGTATGGTATTTTTCTAGATTGTTAGCTACCCAGAGTTGCTAGGGTGTGATGGGCACCAAGTACATCAAATAAACAAATATAGAAATAAATACGTGACCAATCTCTATTGCCTACAGGAAAAGAGACACCAAACTCATCATATATAAGCACATATGAATGTTGGTTCTTGCTGGTTATAAGAAAAAAAAGTCCCCTGTGATACTCCTGTTCAGGAAAGAGGAGAGAAGAAGGATCACTGCTGCAAAAGTATCATTTTCTTTCCCACTGAGATTTTTCCTACGTTATCCATTTCATCTCACCCCCCACCCCTTTGAAATGATGAGCACAAGAAACAGATGCCAAGTTCCCTGCAAGACAATCTATGCTTGGTGAAATTCTCAAACAGAATTAGAGAACCAGCTTTTAAGATGCTGTCTATATTTTGGGGAAGAGACAGAGGACGGGTGACTTAAAATCCACACATCTCATTGAAAGCTGATTTATTTTCACGATCTACCAAGGACTGGGTTTTCTAATTAGGATCCGCGGTCTCTTATTCATTAAAATAAAAGATATGTTCTCTGTCTCCTAAGAGTAAAACTCAAATGGCTGGGTACCAATCGTTCTGGATGAAAACCAAGACCATTCAAAAACAGTTTCAGCATATTTAGGAGACTTTCTAGGAACATACGATAAATGGTAACTAGATAAATTAGAAGTAAAATAATTTTTTTTTTCAAATGGTCACAATAGGTGGCAGCATTCAGCGGACTTTGGCTGATCTCAAAGAAATGAAGTAGAGTCAGGCCTGGTTAGAAGTTGAATGGGAGACTACTGGACCACATCTGACCCCAAACTCATTTCTTACTTACTTGAGAACCTCCTCACCATTTAGTCCCCAATAGTTGTATCCTGAGTTTGCACGGCCCTCAACCAACAAAAGAACTGCAACAGAGATGTCCCCAGAATCTGATGCTTTCATCAGAATGATCAAAGCAGCATCTCTCATTGTGTTGCCCATTGCTCCTCTCTCTCTCTCTCTCCCTCCCCCTTCATTTCTTCTAGGGGTCTTCTTCCTGTCTTACGGGAAGAAGAATAGGAACGGACCAGTGGGCCAGCCCAACCCCCTGATGAACGACAGACTTCTGTAAGCTGCCCAGATTAATAATAGATTTAGGCTCCTATAAATCCTATAAATAAATAAATAATAAACAAACAAACATTTACAAAAAATAAAAAGGCCCTAGAGTTACACCCCAGAAAAACATAAAAAAGCCAGTTTGGTGTAATGGTGGAGGTGCTGGACTAGAAATGGGGAGGCAGCAAATTCTAGTCTTCCATGAGGCGTGCAAGATGACTGGGTGACTTTGGGCCACCCATACTCCCTCAGCCCAACCAACCTCACAGACTTGTTGTGGGAAAAATAGGAGGCGGGAACATTATGTACACGGGTTTGGGTTGTACAAATAAAGGTGGGATATAAATCTAACAAAAATACATAAACAAAGCCTTGCAGGGTAAACCATTAAGAAAAAAAAAAGTTATCCAACTTCTTTTTCTCCTTCAGAAATCTCAGCCGAGCTTATTATCAAAGGTGGAAATGACAAAAATGGCTCACCGGGAGGCAGCTTAGAAAATGCTTTTTGCGGAAACATAACAAACAACGCGTATTTGCCAACAGCTATTCTAAGGTTCGGATGGAAAGCAAGGTGTCATTTCCTCAAGATAGGAAGTCAATTAAAATGTTAACAACAAAAACATTTTGGTTTTGGTTATTTAAACACAAAGCCAAATTACGCATAGAAAAGTCACTTGTCTAATGTCTGTCATCTTGTTATTTAACCAATGAATATTGACCAACTACTTGCATCATGAAGAAATAAGGAATTAGGGAGCTGAACTTATATTCCATTTTTCCTACACTGCAGGGCCATACAACCTGAGGCCTGAGGGCTTCTTGTAGTCCCTTAAAACCTGGAGTACAACCCACAAGGCTTCTCCAAAAGTCACTACCTATTTTTCTCCTGGTCTCCCTCAATTTTGGGAAGATGCATCCTGGTGTGCTTTCAAAGACCAACTGTGACTCTTGGTTGGAAAAGTCCTACAAGGACTTACTGATGCTATCCAGAATCTCAACCTTGGCAAGGTTCCCATGTGGGCTGCCTGCTTTAAGGTTGGAGAAGGACCCAGCTAAGGACTTCAGGACACACCACTTAAGAAAAGGACCCCTCTCTCTCTTCCATGTGCCCCTTACTCAGGGGCAGTAGGGCCACCACTCATCCCTGCTGCAAGGGAATCATGAGGCATATGGCACAGGCACCTCTCAACATGGCAGGAAGCCCTCACCATGATGTGCATATACAGTGGCAAACCGTTTCAGAGAGAGTCACACTTTATGGGCTCTGATTCACTGCCTATTCTGGTCCACCACTGGAAGCAACTATTGCATTATGGTAGGGTGGGTCCAAAAAATCTCAAATTGACATCGGAGTTTCCATCTCTACTTCATTTCTGATGTGGACAACAAGAAGAACCACATTTTTGGGGTGGGGTGGGGAATTTACAGATATTCAGAATACAAAGTCTTTCTCCTACCTCCGGTCGTTCCTCCTCCTCCTGAATAGTTTTTTGGTGTGTGCAATTTCTGCTTCGTGTGGCGATGGGTGACAACCCTGGCATAAAACAGCAAAAAAGAAAGATGGTTATAAATTCAAAAAGAAGAGCCAGAGAATATTCATGCTTATGACAAGGAGCAGCGCCTTCAGAACCTCCTGAAACACTGGTTTAGAGAAGCCGCTCATTTTAACTTTTCCTAAGAGTTGCTAGAACAAAATAAGCTTACAATGACTGAGGGCAGAATCGCATGCTGTTCATACAATCAAGCTTCATCTCTGCAGTGAACGCGAAGAAAGCTATTGCTTCAAAGCTTCAAAACCACTGTACCTCATATATCCATGGCCATTCCACAAGGGTCTGGGAATTGAAGTCCATACTTCTGGAAGGAACCTAGACTGTGGATGCCCGGACTAGCCTTTTCAAATTCTGGCATTCATCCAAAATCATTGTAATGGGAATGTGCCTTTCATCTGTGCACAGGGTCACCAGGCAGCTATCATGGAGTAACGTAGCAAACGGGTGGACTAATGCACCAGCTCCACCAAAGAGGACCCCAGCATTGTATCTCTTTATGAAAAGTCCCCGAGGGTAGCTGTCAACCCTTCAACTGCAAGGACCTCTGGAACTCTACTTTATTGTTGTAGGGTATTATAACAAAAATCTTGACAGCCCACCAGCATTTCCTTCTGCCCTGTCTTATACCAAACAGAATCAAGGCAAGATAATCTTGAGTCTCTTTCCCACACTCCCTTGTTCCCAGGGCTGAGATGGTGCTTATTGTCTCTCATCTGCTAATGGCTCTTGCATATCTTCATCAACTTTATCGCTGTTTTCCTCTACAGTAGCATGATGCAGTTTGGAAATGCAAGTCTGGTTCTGGTGCAGGAACTGTCCTTTGTATTCACGGGGGCTGGCAGAGGCCTCTGGACAGTCACTTGGAGAACGAAATGCAGGACCAACTGTTTTTTTTCCAACTGCTTTTTTATCCGCATGATACAGTTCTGACTTGCCTTAGAGGCAATTTCACTGTTACTCAAGGTAGGTTAAGGTGGTTTGATCCAGTAACAGATTGAGCACAATTGAATTCCTATCAAATTCAGCTAACTTATTTACTTAATACACTTCTATGCTGCATTCTAGTGTTAAATATCTTAGCAAGGTGCACATAATTGCAATAAAAGAGAAATTCAAATAAATAAAAAGGCAAGGAAACAACTTACAATAAATCAAAGCATTCAATATAAAACATGTGTGAAATTTGGATATTTAAAAGGTGAGAGTGGAAGGAAAAACATTCAAGAGCATCATTCACACAACTATGGCCTGGGTGCAGAAAATAACTTCAGCAGGCACCACCAAGACTTAATGGCAGATGCCTCCCAAATATCAGAGAGCACATTTCAGGAAGTGGGGCCACTCCTGCAGAGGAAGTTTGCTTGCAAATAACCACAAATCACAATTTGCAAGATGCCCACAAGCCGTGAGCCCCTTAGAATGGCATTCCACTTTGGCCACCCCAAAATGCAGATACCAACTCCAGATTGAGCTTCATGAAGACCAGAAGGATAAATTACTGTTGTCAAAACTGCAATGGTTTGAACACTGGAGTGGGTGCTTCTTAACCAGTTTGATCTCAACATCTCCAGTTCTCATCCTAAGTTTTCCAGAACTTGCCTCCTGTCTCCTAACATTTCTTATATTCCAGGTTTTCATATCAATCCTCTCCCCATCCAACAAAAAAATAACATTAAGTTTGCTCTACTTCTAGCATGGAAGGGTTACCTCATCAGATCCATCAAACCACTGAATGTGGATTTAGCTTACAACCCAATTCAACCTTTGAGATCAGAAAAAGAGAACCTATGATCCTTGAATGGTGAGCCTCAACTTCCTAGCCAGTATGGCTAATAATCAGGGATGATGGTTGGCGGAGTCTCTTATGGATTCTCCACTCCTGCTGCGGGCGTTTCACAATGTTAGAATTCTCTGTCTGCCTGACACCATTTGAACCCAGAGAAAGGGTCTGATGCTATGTTTAATCCTCTTATGAAGATTTAGAACTTCATTACTTTGTGTAAAGAACTTTCCATTTCTTGGAAGAAGAGGTCCTCTCGAATAATTGCAGTGTGTTATTCATTTTCCTAGAACTACAAAACTGTCAGAATTTACAAGCAGTAGAAGTGTTTTATTCACGCAACCCAGTGCTTAGCAGACTGGCCATCAAAGAGCCTCAGGAAAAGCCATTCTGCAGATATCTAGAAGGATCCATTTCCCTGTTTCCCAGGGCACCTCTTCTCCCATGAAGGTACATTACCTGGTTTGGGTGTAACAGCAAATCACAGCCCCTCCAAGCAAGGAGTCGATGAGGCTGGGGGAAGGACAAAGGAAACCCCCAGGCCCCAGAAGCATTAGCATGGCTTGGTAATGGGGCATTGCAACACCAGGACAGAATAGCTGTTCTAGCTTTTTAATTTGTTAGATTTCTGTTTTTTCTTTCCTTCAGGAGCAAAGGCCAATGCCTAGGGAATATTATTGTGGGGAATAACTTGGGCTGAGAGAGGATAATGTTTCCACAGTGAGCTGCTTTGCCACCTTGGGATCATATCAGCTAGTGGTATTTGGGAATGATCTAAAAACTTTGGTGGCACCTCACTGTATATATTGACATTCCCCATCACCACAGATCTAGTTTGAGGAGAGCCAAGCTGCCAATTGCTTGTGCAACCATCAACTCCAAGTGACTTCTGTTTGCTTCAGCTTTCCTTCAAATTACCCTGGAAATGGTACAACCAGAGCCCCATCTCTTAATGTCCAGGCGAAGAGACATAATTCTTCCACCACAACTGCGCACAGTTCAATGTGCTGACCTCCTTATCTCCTTTTGGTCAAAGCAGAGGAGCAACCTGGCCCAAATCTTGGGTATTTTTCTGGGCAATCCACTTCACCCCATGATATCTGATGCATAAGAGAAGAGGAACAATGGAATGGGGGGGGGGATTTTAAAGAAAGAACAGACATAGAACTCTCCAGGTTTCTCGATACTCAGTGCAGTCCAGTAAGCCAGCAGTGCATAACCAAAACGTCTCCAAAGATGCAGTGGGAGAATGGGCAGTTCCACCCATGCTTCTTACAAGCTGGGGCCACGAGGCTCTCATCACGTTATGGCCTATTCCAGCTGCCCCTTGCCCACCCACAAACAGCAGCCTAGGAGAAGGATCCAAGGTGTATTCTCTGGCGGCAATCTTAAGGCATTAGGAGGGAGTAAAGCAGAAAGGAGTGGGGGGGGGGCAAAGGCAGCTGGGAATCTCTGGACCAGGAGGTGAGACTAAGCCCCACGATCAAAGAGACATTGTGTGAATTGTGAGAAGCTGGAGCAAAATATTACAGGAATCAAAATTAAGAACTTGAATACTTCAAATTTCATAACTACTGTAACCCCAAACATTCACATCACGAATGTCCAGCTGCAAACCATTTCATTGGGGTATGAAAGAGCTGGAAAGTGTTACAGGGCTTTATGCCACTGAGTCCCGGCCTCAATCATTTTACCCAGCTGTAGTGTAGGGACAGTAATACTTCGATTATGTGCCATCAAGCTGTTTTCGGCTCCTGATGACCCACAGATTTTCTTCATGACGACCTGTCCCTAACCTGTTCTTTCAAGTCTCCCAATGGCGCCCTCATCGCCTCTGTAACAGAGTCCAACCATCTTGCTGCAGTAACAGTAATACTAGCCTACCTTGAAAGGCAGTTTGTTTGATAAGAACCACGCAAGCAAATGTTTCGAGTGTGTTTCAAAAGCTAAGCCTTCTTTTCAGAGAGCCACAATTAACAAACCATCAAGAATAGTATCTATGTTCTTTAATGCAAATCTCCAATCTTAAGATACTAGCATGGGAGAAGAATGATGAAATCAGCTGTTTGAGGATTCCTCTCTGTTGGCATTACAGAAACGGGCAGTGGAGCATCCGGCAAAGAGGATTTTTTGGGGGGGAAGTCTGCCTACGTCACAACGCAGGAGCCAAGCAGAACTTTCTAAGGAGAAAATGGAAGGCACATCTTTACAGTGTACCTTTTATTGATGGCTCAAGTCAAGAAAATTAGAACATCTGGATTCCATTTTTTCCCACTATCAAAGTAGGCTATACAAATACTTTTCTGGATAGGAAAACTGAATGTGGGTGTTTTAAATTCTGTGCTTCTGAAGATTACTTATTTTGACCTTCTTTTATCATTCACTGTATTTTGTTTTGGATGTTCCTCTGCTTTGCTCTTTTCACGCTACATCCGCTCTTGCACATTAAAAACAGTTCCCGCTGTAGGTTTTTAAAAATGCACGTAGTGATGTGAATTCATTTAAAGACACTTCAGTACAGATAATACAGGCTGGAATTTTGTTTTTCCCTGTGCCAGTGCCCTTTGAATTCTTGCTTTAAATAAAATGAAGAGAAACGAAAAGACAAAGATACCTGGGGAAACAGGCAGGAAGGAAGAGAGGTCTTCAGGTGTCTGCTGGCCCTACCTGTGCACATTACCTGCCTTTATTTTCAAACTCTGGAATTCAGAAACACCAAACGTCTTTCAAATACTTCTTCTCTTGCAGGAGAGAAGCAGCAGCATGTTGTGTGCAACACAACACTTCCAAGGACAATCTGCCTTGCCCCCCCCGTTGCCTGCCCAAGGGTGCCCACAAGGTGTGGTCAAAAAAGATGTGATGCCCATTAAAAATGGACAGAGCTTCAATCACAACGTCGTGACCATCATCTAGACCAGTGTCTTCCAAACTTGGCAACTTTAAGATGCGTGGACTTCATCTCCCAGAGTTCCCCAGCTGGGGAGTTGAAGTCCACGCATCTTAAAGTTGCCAAGTTTGAAAAACACGGATCTAGACTTTTTTGACCACATCCCATGGATGCCCCGGTGTGACCTGCCTCATTGGCAACCCCAACAGGACACCGGTTCAGTGTTCACTCAGACGCGAGGAAATTGCTTTTCCGCAAGCAACACTGCTGAAAGGATCTCACCACTTTGTGAGTCTGAGAGTGCGTGTGTGTTA